CTTTCCCTTTGAGATCAGCTACCTAGCAATAAATGCAATGAAGTAAACCTGCTTTGTGATTTAATTCTTATCTGATTGCTTCTCCAAATCATATTGATCTGCCATTATCATGCTGCTGTTTTGGACTTGCTGTCCAGGTTTGCCTCTAGGTCTCTGCTGGCGCAGCAGCTTGAGAGGTTTGTATTTGGTTATTTTCTCTGAGCCATATTATATATAAGACAAATCATAGAATATTTCCGGCTTGTATTTCCAGTTTCTCCCGTACCTTTGTATTATTTCTCTCCTGTATGAAAGTTTTTACAACCTCTTCCTAAAGTAAAATGTGTCAGAGTCACAGAATCACGGAACTGTTGAGGCTGGAAAAGACCTCTGAGATTATCAAGTCCAGCCTATGACTCAACAGTCTTTTCTGTCCTTTTTTTTCCTGAAGTTTTTCAAAGTTTTGTACTTTAAAATGCTCCTATACCCATCTAGTTAAACAGGTTCTTAGGCTACTATTGTATTGATACTATAAAGAAAAACATTTCAACTGTGAAGGCACAGGTTGCTCAGAGAGGTTTTGGAGTTTGCCTCCTTGGATGTGCTCAGAATCCAGCTGATCAGGAGCCCTGAGAATTCTCATGTAGAGACCCTGCTCTGAGCAGGGCACTGAACTGGCCCCTTCCAGTCTGAATTACTCTGATTCTGTAGAAGTCCCTACAGGAAAAGCTGAACAGAGGCATGACTCTCAAATGCAGGAATAGTAGCTACTGTAAGCAAATAGGTAATTCTTAATGACTCTTTACATCTAGTTTAGAATAAGCCAGTAATTTCCATCTAAAGGTCATCTTCATATAGATAAGGCTAATAAATATAGAAGAAAGCTGGATTTGAGCAAATATATCCAGTCAGTCCTGCAGTGTTTTGCAAAGGCTGTGCTAGCATCTCATAATAACATCTCTGAGGGCACGTTTTGTGATTCTTCTCCATAGGAATCCATGTGACCCTTTTCTGGCTCCAGCCTGCTGGTGTAATTCTACCTGAGTCAACAGCAGTGGGGAAAAAAAAGTCTTTCAGAGGTGTCTGCAAATTTATAGTTTCCTGATGTTTCAGCTTCAAACTTGGTGATGATTTCATTTTTTCCTCACTTGCTTGTACATGCGCTCCCGGTTTGGTTGGGACTGGCATCTCCCACTGCGTTCCGTGAGCGTGTTTCATTTCCCTGTGCCAGCTCTCATGCTTGTATTAAAACCCTTTTCGTCTTATTTGAGTTTCTGTGCCTTAAATAATGTTACATCATCCCAGGCCCTGCACAGCAAGGATCTGTAACTTTTTCAGTTTTCAGCTGAAGTCTGGGGCCAGGGAAGTCTTGAACTGTTCAGTTGTTTGTTTGCAAAATTAAACTTCTGCTGTGCTGAACCCTAAGACTGTAATTATTTTGTTTGCTTGCATTTTGGTGCAGTTAGCTGTCGATGCTGAATATTTTTCTTTTAGTTGTAATGAACTGCTGGCTATTTGTCTCTGGTTTGGATGTAGTACTCAAAACACCCTTTCCATGTGTGGCAAGAGATCGTTAGAGGGACTCTGGAGGGTTTTAATGACTATCTGCTTGAAATTATGTGAGTTAGTTTGTAGGAAAGTTTTTTTAGTTCCTGTCTTGTTTGTTTACATCATTTCAAGTTAGCTTCTCTGTCATCAGTTGTGACTATTTTTGGGGCTTTCTGCTAGCCAAAGGAAGGCTGATTGCAGGCTAGCAGCATTGTGAAATAAAAGATTGGGAATTAATAGGGCTCAAGTGGTATGTGGGGCTTCTCTTAATCATCTCCAAAATACACATTTTGTTTAAAATCTTTTTTCTTAACCAAAACACTGTGAAGTTTCTCCTGAGTCAGATTCACATTTCTCCCCAAATTATGTAGAGATAACATAAAATATTCCCACTACAATTTGAGATTCTTTTAATTTCAAATTTCCTCTTAAAAAAGAAAAAACCCCTTGTGTTAGGACCTTTACTCACAGAAATTCAGTAGGGTTATGTTCCAGAGACAATTTTCTTGGTATTCTACCACAACAATTTCAGAGGCTGACAAAGCCAATACTACACACACCTTCAACATCTTCCACGACGTTACCTTCACCCACAGACACACCCTTGAGGAGCTGTGGAGCAAGTCTCTTCTGAATCTGAAGTTAAGCTTGGCAGAAGTGAGTGGGTTTTAGATCACTCTTTCTGCACCTTCCGAAGAAATGGAGAAGAGGCACAGTCCTCTGACTGGGCGATGGGATTGAAGTTTGGGGGAGCTAATCCAGTGGATTTCCACTCGGCAATACAGCTCTTCTTTCTCGTGTCTGTGGGCTGCAGGGCTGGGATTCTCTCATGGAATGGGATGCTGATGGGGCATAACGAGGCCCAGTGCTTACCATTCCTCTTCAGTGCTGTGAAAATCATCTTGCCCTTGGTGGCACTTCTTGGTTGGGAGGGAGGAGCCTTGTTAAACATCCAAAAATGTGTCCTAGACTTCATTCTCTACCTTTTTTTGTCTTGAAGGCTCAGCTGTCTCAAGTTTTGGAAGAAGTGGGAAATCATAAGCAAAGAGCAGAGATGGTAAGTGTTCATCTTTTGGTTTTCTTTTAATTGTTTTGCAGAGCAGTAACTCATGCAAGTTCAATTCATGTAAACAGTGGATCAGTTCCAAATGTGCAGAAATGAGTAGCAAATAAGGGTTGTAAAAGTTTATATTGTTATTGCTTATCTTGGCACTCTGTCTCCGTACTCACCTGGAACGAGGGTTGGATGAGATCTAGTGGTCCGGCTTCTTTATCTGGCAATTTCCTTTCTCTTTGTTAGGAGTGCTAGATCAGAAGCAAGCATTTCATTTCATACTGAATTAACTCCTTCCTTTGAGGGCCTTTGATTCAGTCTCAAGTATGCAAAGGGCAAGCTGATGAGATACAACAGAATTACCACAAGCTGGTTTTTTTTATAGTATCTGTTAATTTTCTGCTGGGTTTGACTACTTCATTGACAGTTCCCTCAGGGACCAAAAATAATAGAAACAAAAAAAACAGGCAGTAGGGAAGTTTATGTGCAGTTTCACGACTGTTGTATGCAGTTCTTCATACTCAGGGATAAACAAGGTGTCAGCATTCAGCTGTTTTTCATGAACCAGTGTTTTTGCTAATGGGCAAGTTGTGGGATTCTTGCACCTAGTCATAAGAAAAACCTGAGCAGTATCCAGAATGTAGACACTACTCATTCTGTAGATGGACTTTACACTGGATTAATTTTGTTACTGATGAAAAAATGGGCATGCATCACTGGCTGGTAAGTAGGTGTTAAACTGAGTTCCACTCTTAAAATGATAAACTACGGTGCCAACACTAGTCTTTCTAGACTTCTGCTTAATTCTACTAGGGCACCGAAGTGCAGAACTAGTGTGCCTCTGCTGCACTATTAATAGGCTGCCATACATCTGCTAGTTTCTGTTGTGTTTTTTTTAATTTGTGCTCCTTGCTGTTTCAACATTAGATTTTCTATAATGAGAGTGTTAATTGATTCCAGTTCTGGGGTGGTCTTACATTGTGGGCAAACATTTTTGTATGCTTAGCCGCTTTCTCTGGTGATGCAGGTCAGAACTGATATTTCCAAAGAAAACTGAATTAATCCTATTTACCATCTGATCTCATTACACACTGCCTTGTTATAGTTTTAAATTCTATACAATCAATTTTGTATTGTGCTCACTGGACGTATCAGAGGATGGATTCACTGCTATGTTTTAAATGTTCCGATGTGTGGATATTTTAAACATTTCCAAGTTTTTCTTTTTGGCTCATTAAGCGTAGGGTTTGAGATTTTGGTTTGCCTTCAAAAGTTTGTCACATTAAGCAGTCTAGCAAAGAGCTGAGGAAACTGGAAGTTCCAGCGTTAAAGCATTAATTGGTGGTGTGCATCATCCATCAGCAGAGGATAAAGCATCAGTCAGTGTTCAGTGCCTATTCCCAAGGGTTTCTCAGTGGAAAACTGCAGGTCTTGTGATCTTCCAGTAAAGCTTACATCAATCTCACATGAACAGGCTGTATTCTGTTCTGCTTTAGACGATGGATTGCAGATTGTGAGGTGTGGGGTTTATTCAGCATTTTGATTTTTGCTTGGTAAATAGAAGCAAATGCCTTCATACTGAGGAAGAGAGATTGTTTTTCCTCTTTTTTCCCTTTCAAGGAGAAATGTGACAGTATAGTTCCATCTTTTCACTGGTGGTATGTGGTTTTCCTCCACACCAGGTGAAATCGCCCTGGTAGAGCAAGGTGTGTCACTTGTTGTCTTGTACAGTGTCAGCGGTGGGAGAGGTCTGTCCGCTTTGGATGAGGCTCTTCCATTACCTGCCTGCCCAAGGGCTCCAGCACTTGTACCATCAGCCCCACTCCTCCCTGTCATCCCACAAAATATTCTTTACAGAGCTGTTTGGTTTTTTCCTCCCCCTTCTCCAGATGAGAGTCTCACCTGGATGACCTTATTTTCAGACTCCCGTACAGCTGACACTTCAGCATTTGTTTGATCCAGTGCTTGTTCGTTGGCTGTTAAGCCTCCGTGGCTGGGGGGGATGCAGAAGGGCTCGTTCTGCTCCGGGTGCTGACAGATGGGGGTGTTGCTTTTCATCAGCCCTCCTGCAAACAGGCTTCTGGCCCTAAGTGAAATGGAATAAACACCTGCCAGGTGCTATCACACAGTCTGGTGGGTCTTTGAGCTGCTTCTATGATAAACCTCTGTGGAGGTGACATCTCTCCTGCCACCCTGAAGAGCGCGAATGGCTTTGCCACCCCCCCCAGAACCCTGGGAGCGAAGTGATGTGCTCTGGGGCTGATGAACTACCTGGTAGGATCTCACTGGGCAGCTTGATGGGGTTTCTTGTATGTGATGGGGAACGTCTTAGATGCCCTCCTAAATAATTTGTTCTTTACATAGCAATATTTAAAAGTAAAATACTTGTGGGATGAATGTGATGGGATGGTGGCCTCAGTAAGGCAGTGTCTGCATGCTCTGTGACCTTCGGAGGAGAGGGCCCTTGTTCAAGGAATTGTGTCCAAGGGGACAGTACGAGGTGAAGGATCGTTTCTGCTGCACGGGGTGCTGAGCTGCACCAGGGCACGAGGTCTGGCTAGAGGAGAGTGGGATGGAGTTGCTACACCAGCTGCCACTGAGTACTCCAGCGCTCACTGCAGTGAGTTTACTACTGGCAGAACAAAAAAAAAAAAAAAACCACAAAAAAAAGAGAAGAAGAAATTTAAACATCTTCAGCTAATTGCAGTTGACAAGACAAAGGCAGTTTGACTTTCCAGTATTAATTAGCAAACCCATACTAATTAGCTTGTATAAGCACAATTCATGCTTCTTTCACTAAATGCAATTAATATTGCAACTGAAGACGTCTCTGGGCTGTGCCGCTGTATCATTAACATACTTTGCCCTAATTAGACACGGCCAGTAGTGGCTGGAGAAATGAGTTTGTGATTACAACCATAAAAAATCCTCTAATATTTTATATCCTTCAGGGAACTTGAACCTAGAATTTATTTTCTGATTTAAGAAAAATTACCCTTATCATTGTGCTTTGTAATTGTAACAATGAAACTTTGATTTTACTTTCCCTCTAACCCTTCACTTATTTGTTTTTCTTTATTCACAGTTTAAGTGTGTAGGGGAACTGCCCTTGCTCCCTCTCCTGAGAGATGATCCTTAACAGAGTCACCGCTCTGATAGAGTTTGGATGACGTAATTGTCCCACAGATCTGTTTCTTTTATTTGCTAAAAGAGTGGGGTTTGTTGTGGTTTTTTATTTTTTGATGCCCAAGCACACTTCTTTCCTGTAGTTTTTGTGTGCGTATGTATGTGTACTTTTCTGACAATTCTATCAGCACTAGAAGTTTCCATGATGGAGGCTGGTACTCCAGTAGCTTTATCTCCAGGATGTGCCAGGAGATTACTCACAGAGTTCACACATAAGACTCCCCATTTCTTCTTACTTCTTATGGTACGTTAGTGTAACGCTCTACTGGCGTAAAGCTGAGAGCTTGCTTCACTCACACCAGAATATTATTTGTGGAAAATGCTTTCTTGTTTGTTTTATTATTTTTCTTTCTCTCCCTGAGGAAGGGAAGCAGTCGATGTGTTAGTTTTTCTAATTTTCATTTGCCTTTTTCATATCCCTTTATAGGCAGGAGAAATTGTTTGACTCAAGCTTGCCATCCAAGCAACAGCTGTGATCCCTGATCTCACGCTTTCTTTCGGTCTGTACAGGGGACATTCATGTCAAGATTTTTTCTCTCCCATCATTAATCCTTGAGGGAAGTCAGCCTGGTATTAAAAAAGTATCACCTGTGTTTTCATTGCCCTGAGGTGCTCTGGATATCTTTTGGCTTTCATCTTCAGAAGACAGCTTGGCCCATGTGGGCTCTGAAATCTATAGACTGCTCATTGGAACAAATTATATTTCATCCTCCAGCAGATTAAAAAGGATGGATATAAGAATCAGAAGAATTGCTTAGCAGGGTGGGAGGTAAAGAAGATTTGAAGTCCAAGAATGTAGCTGTCACAAATGAACGGTATAAATTGAGTATACTTACAGAAGAAATAAAGACACCTTAAAATGAAAATAACAAATTCCCCTTGCACTTGAGAAGTGTTTGTTACCCCTCTGCAAAGAACAGGAGACCTTTATTTAAGTGCAGCAGGTCAGGAATAGTTAAGGAGCCAAATCATGTGTTCAGCCTGATGAAACCATAATGTTTAGGATTAACTTAAATGTCATTGACTACCTACACTGATGTTTATCAGGGGAAATAATGACAGAAAAGAGAATACGTGAAAGAAATAAACTTGGAGAACACTGTGTGTGGTGTTGCTGGGAACTAGCTATTAACTAGAAGGCGACGTGGAAAAATCACAAAGAGTTTGGGAAAATCGCGACGGGCGTCAAGACACGAACAATGAGATACCCACGCGGTTCATAAAGCATCTGCGTTACTAGTGAAAGGCTGTACTTTGCAGTGGTTGCATCAGACCTCCAGACTTTAAGAACTGTAACTTTTGATACTTCAGAGAAATATCTGGCAAAGAAAAAAATTCTGTTACATTTTGTGTTACAGGTGATAACAATGATAATAGGAAAGAAGTGAACTTTAGTATAGAAAGACCTGCCCTGGATAAGTTGCCAAGGTAGCTCATCTAATTTTTGTTTGAGTTGTTAAACATAAAGCAAGAAACACAACAGACCAGGTTATAAGAACAAAAGTGGTGTTCTTTAGTGAAAGTGTAAATTCTCTGTATTATCTAGAATGGGATGACAGTTAAATGTGGGATTAGAGTAGTGAACCAGGGTAGTTATAAATAAAAACAAAGCTTTGCTGGAACACATATAGAACCAACAGGTTGGGAGGGGAAAGGAGACGACCGACCTGTCCAGAAAGTCTTCATCTATCCAAAGTGTATTTCATCATTTCTGAACTGATTTAGCAAGGCGACAGCAAATCTCCTTACCATTTGACAGATTTTATCCTAACACCTTATGCAAGATGAGCAAAGCCAAGACAGATGAGTAGCGTGTC